CTCAATTTCTCCTCCCTTCTCATCAAATTCTCACCCATATGTCACTAATTCAATTTGCATCAATTCATCAACTCCTTGATTCTCTTCAATCATATATTGTGATTTTATTTTATTTTATATTTTTGTGAATATCAAGTGTTTAAGTTGGTTTCAATTTATTTTTAAGTTAATGAAATTGTAAATAACTATATATGGTAATTAATATTTTTGGTATTTTGTTTGTTTTGTAAATAATTCTCATTGAAGTTGAAAATTAAAGTATGGTAAGATCCATTAACCCACATTAATTGGCTTGAGTTGTTCAATTTAAGTGTATTTAGTTAAAAAAGTATAGATAGTTAATATAGATATTAATTATTTAATTATAATTATTTTTTTGTAGGTAAAATTTATTATATTGTATATGAATCATCATTGAATATAGTATATGGTGATTATAATTATAAAAATAAAGTGAAGTTCAAATTGAAATTATGCATTTGTTTATATATTGAAATTAATGAATTGTTAATGATGATTTTGTAGGAAAATTGATATTTCGTCGCATTACTTTCAGAATGGTAGCTTAAAGGTGTATATATAGTTATATATATATATATGTATCATAATAAGCTTTTAATTTTAGACAAAAATGTGGTAGTATAATTAAAGAAATAATTATACAATTTTATACCCTTATAGCTTAATGTTCATTTTAGTAATGATGGCATGAAATTGTTTGAGATGTATGGAATGAATGTAAACAAATTTTTTAAATGTTAGTGGAATGGAGATTTGTGGTGATGGAATGGTTTTAATAGAATAGAATGTTGATAAAATTAGGAATTTATTGAATTGTTGTTTTAGGGAATATGTGTATAGAATATTGACAGAAAGAATTTATAAAATTTTATTTTATTTTTTGTAAGTCAAAATAGTATAGCATTGTGCTATATGGTGGTAAAAATATGAAATAGCAATATATTCCTTGTTAATGAATTCAGTAGAAAGTTCCACAAAAAATTTGAAATTAGAAAATCATCAAGGTGATACATGTTGCTAATTGATAAAGCATGGAGGCTAACGCCTAAATTAGCATTGTATGCTACATTGGTGAAATGTAGACATTCACTAACATGGCATATGTTGTTGAATAGGGTGCGTTGACTAGCTCCAAGAAGACATTCACCAACATGGATATGTTGTTGAACAAGCACATTCATTGACGTGACATTTATTACTGAATAGGGTGCGCATTTTCGGTGACTGGCTCCAATGACCATAAATTAGCATGCTAATACTTGTTAGTGATGTTTTATCAAGAAAAGCATTTCCAACAAAGAAATTACCGACATGATCAACATTGCTGCACTATTTTCAGTAACATGTTCAAGACTTTCACAGATGTACTCCCATATTGCTGAAACCCTACATTTTAGTAGTGCCTTGCCTAACCTTACCTTCTAGTATCATCACTCATGTGGTTGTAGGGCAACCACCCCCATAATCACAAAAATATCCATTACTAGAATCTAATAAAGCATAGTTACATAAGACACAACTAAAAATTTGACTTTTTTTCAACTAATTATTTTCTAATGCAATTTACTATGGAAAATAATATACTAATTTCTAACACTTAGCATTGGAAATTAGAACTTGATATAAAATATTCAAAATTATAATTTTGAGGTTTGACTCATTTTTCAACGCTTAACGTTGAAAAATAATTTAGTGCTATAATTTAGTTTGGCACCATTTTATTTTCCAACACCTAACGTTGGAAACTAATGCTTTTTATATTGTTACTAATAAAGAAAATTTTCAAAAAGAAAAAAAATTATTCTTCACCTTTTTTTTTTTTTTCCAACACAAAATGTTGGAAAATGTTTAGAAACATCAAATAATAAAAATGGGGTGCAAGTTATTTTTTTAACACTAAACATTGGAAAATAATCCTACCCAAGTTAGTACTTGGTGCTAAAAAATACTCATATTCAATTGGTTCAAGTTATTTTTTAGTGTGTTTAGGTTATTTTCTCATGCTTGGTGCTGAAAAATACTCCTTTCCAGTTGAAACAAGTTATTTTCTAGTGCTTGACATTGAAAAATATGTTTATTAGAAGTTTAGGAACCAAATATTCGAATATCTTTTCTTTTTAAAAAATCAAAATCCCACATATATTATTACACTAAAAAGTAATTTTATCTGAAGTTTGGAGTCCAACATTAAAGCACTATTTTTTCCTTATAAAATTTTCAAAATCTCGTCCACTTTATTTTCCAGCACTAAGCCATGGAAAATAATATTTATCTATATAAACCTCCAATCTTCCTCAACATTTTCTCCCATCTTCTTCTTTGTTCCCTTTCATTTTTCTCATCCCTTTTTCGAATTTA